ATAAATTACACCCTTCCTTTATTTCATGCTCATTCGGGTAGAGTATCCTTGTATACAGGATACATGCCCGCAGTTGCTGTGGCTGTATGTCATTTCAACACGCCGACACATCAAATAGGCACTACGGCCTCAGTGGGGAATACGTCGTCCACCTACGGAGGCTCCGTGTTCGGTGAGGTACTTCAGGGTATCCAAAAGGGACATTGCGTAATCGATGCTTGTACGACTTCGTGCCATCACTAGTATGAAGGTCAAACTACAAGAGCCTAAAAGATTCCACCCTATTTTACAGTTACAAGAAATGTGGTGAAGACAGGAAAGACCTGGGAAAGGTTTCTTGCCTATAAATTATTTAGAGGTGAATTTTAGCTTTATCTACCAGTCCTTCTTACAGAGACTCTTCGAAAGTGTTATACACAGTTATGTGCGAATCCTACACCACATCAGAGATAAATTTTTGAATTTGGGAATTTATCGCTTCTCCCAGCTTCTTGATAGCTTGATTTTGTAGAAAGTATGGTATTTATTTAACACAATGAAGGTCTTTTGTCTCCGATTTACATACATTGGAATTTTTGACAAGCGGAAAAGGGATGTGCCTTTAGCCTGTCATATTTACGAACTTGATACATCCCCGATTCGGTGGCGCTGCAGAAGATTACCACAAAATTTGAGAATACACACATCGAGGAGTTATAACTGCAGCTTGCGGGATTCCCTCACCTTAATTACTTGTCGTCGTGGAAGCCAAATTTCTGTGTATCCAACACAGCATAGACAATTGGACCCCTTCCAGGAGATGTAAGAGAAAAAAGACTGAGAGAAGTCTAAGTAGAATCAAGTTAACAAAGTTAAATCACTATGAATGGTAGCACTACCAAAGCCCAGAACCACCGGCTCCATCCTACATAAGACCTTCACCTTAAAATCATCCTTTTTTCTTTAAAATACTCTGCGCATCTGTCATTCATGATAATGCTGTTTAATTTTTAAGAATTGCGAGATAAATGTTCGACTTGAGATTTATAACAGGCAGAACCAGGATCTTCGTCTAAATTGGCACTTGACGAGGATTTCGGTGGTCCCGTTCGTAACACCTGAAAAGAATTAAGGTACCTAGAGTGAGCAGGGGGGAGCTTGAGGAGAAGAGAGGGACGACAATTTTGAGAGGTGATTCTTAAACATTCACAGCAGAACCCAGGTAACCCTTTGCTTTTGACCTGCGATATTTTTCCTGGTGATGGCAACTACAAAATCACTTTAATCAGGCATTTGAATTGCCCTTCAAAGTAATTATTTTTACTATCTCGTCGATTTATTTAGGCAGAGTGGGCTGTCCAAATAAATTATACTCTTCAAATGCTGAATTAGAACAATTTAAAGGAAGTTGGTTCCACCGATTACAAATATACTGTGAAGTATGACCGAGGAAGTTCATTTCCTTTATGTTTCATTGTGCCGAAACAATAAAAAAACCACTTAATTTGAAAGTAGGTACTGATGAAAGGTGCGAAAATTCTGCAGCCAATTACAAATTTTTAGGACGAATCTATTGCAATAATTTGGCCACTTGGTTGACTTTTCGTTCTAGTTTCGCAAGTAATTAAGTCGCCGCCTTTGCACTTGCACTAGGCAACATGGTCTCCGGACCATGTCAGTGACCCACGTCGCATTCACTTTTGTACGTCGGCTTCACAATTCTCTTTCCCAGTATTGTGACTTCTGTCGTCTTGAGAGAGGTCTCAGTGAGCTGTATTGGAGGCCGTGAAAAGCAAATCCAATCCAAAAGGACGTGTGCCTCGAATTTTAATTGCTGAATGCTATACACCGACTTGGTGGAAGAAGAGCACATGCTGCGGATGAGAGATTCTGCGAAGTACCTACCAAAAGAAGAGGTAAAAGTGGCATCTACTATCAGCAACTAACTTAAGCTTTGGTATTTTTTGAAATTTTTTCTCTACTCATTCCGATGTCTTAAAGTTACAGAAGGAAGATATCCACTGAATGTGGCCCACATTGGAAGAGCCGTCGAAGCCACATCGGCCTTTGGCAATAAGCCGAATGCCATTTTCTGCACTTTCAACACTCAATGCCCGAAGGTGCTCCAGACTAGAAGCAGTAGGAGGTGACCGCTGAGGAGCTTATGTCAGTATTTACAAAGATGTATCGAATGCACCCCCACCACATGTACAGTGTTAAATTGGGTCTCAGAAAGATGGTTAGGTTCTTATAAGGGCATCAACCTACCTTGAGCAGAACGACGTCAATAAATTCAATTCAAAATAAAGGGGGGAACTCTAGATCCACGGAAACACAAGACATGCATAACCTTCGCTAGCAGATTGTGGACCGCCGGCACAGAAGATTGATTGCAACGAGCATCGATGCCAACGACATTTCCTTATTCAGAATGTTTAGCTACATGGATAGACTATCTTTCTCTTATAATCCCTAAACCATGTTGTGTCTAGGATTGCGCACTTGCCTTTAATGGCTATAGGAGGTTTCAATTCACCTTGCTGCTATTTTAAACCGAAGAAGTAGGTTAGTTTACACTGAAGAATTTTTTGATCGTTACAATGTCAACTGACATGAGGGATTGTTTGTGTTTTCTGTTTGTTTCCTTTAGCACGTTGGTCTAATTAAGCGCAAACATTAATGCGGCTGTTCATGAAGGGTCAACTGCGTTGTGACAGGACGTACAGTCAGGTCAGGAGCAAGGGACTGAATGCAAAAAAGCCTTTATTCTGCAAAAACTAAACAAAAATGAGTGTCTTTCACGGAGAAACGGACTAAAATAGAGAAAGAGAAAAAAGGATGCGTTTGAGTTTTTGTCAATTTCTTTCCGGAGTGTCGGCCAGCCCGACAGTTTGGCAGGAGTGTTGACACACCCAAGGATGTTGTTTGATACAAAACTGATTTGCCGATCCCAACCAAGAGGAGTGAACTTTGATGGCCCTCAGAAATATCTCCGTCAGTAAAGAAACGCATGTCCCTCCCTCAGAGAGCCATCATAACAGCTCTACTTCAAATTACTTACTTAGTCATTAATACAGCGGTAGAACGTAAGATCTGATTGAGAATATATGAGACTAACAACCGAAAAAAAAACAATGAGAGGTGAGAAAGCAACAGTAACTGGATTTGCAAATTCAAAGTAGTATTTAATTTTTCACCTTAAATCTGAAGAAGCTAAATGGCGTCTATCTTGGTTTGTAAGCCCAAATCATAGTACAATGCACATTTTAAGCAAAATTGTTGATAAAACGTTCATAATTTGCATCAATCCTTTAATTGCTCATTTACAAATTTCCTGCTATTAGCCGGAAGGAAAGAATA